TTCCGTATGAGTCTGAGGCCTAATGTATGGCTGTGCCTTTGGAAAAATCAACAAAATGAAGATTGGCTTTGATTTGTAATTGAGAAGATACCCATAAAGCAATATTTAAGAAATGACATTGATATTGTGTTACTGGCAGAATGGAAAGTAAAAGAATGGTCAGAGCAGGTAAAATTTAGTTGGAGGGCCGGGCGAGGTGGCTCATACCTGTAATCCCAGCACTTTGGGAGGCCGAGGCAGGTGGATCACCTGAGGTCGGGAGTTTGAGACCATCCTGACCAACATGGAGAAACCCCATCTCTACTAAAAATACAAAATTAGCTGGACGTAGTGGCACATGCTACTTGGGAGGCTGTAATCCCAGCTGCTCTGGAGGCTGAGGCAGGAGAATAGCTTGAACCCGGGAGGTGGAGGTTGCAGTGAGCCAAGATTGCGCCTTTGTACTCCAGCCTGGGCAACAAGAGAGAAACTCCATCTCAAAAAAAAAAAGTGATTTCCATTTGTTGTGGTACACATGTCGGTTCTATGAATGCTGATTTTGTAAAGAACTAGATGATGGAAAAGAAGCAACTATAGGAAGCATGAAGATGACCAGAGGCATGAAGAAAGGCCAGAGAAGGAGTTGGAAGCAACTGGAGACTGAAATGCCAGCTTATAGAACTTGCTCTTGGGTAGGGATTAGAGATAAATTTATTTAAGACTGTACTTCCCAACTCAGATGGCACCATAGAGGAAGAAGATGGCCAAATTCTCTACAGTAGCTTCTTACAGTTGTATAGATATACATTACTATAATTTTCAAAGATTTCAACAGAAAGGAGAAGTACAGTTTTTAGATGCCCTCTCTTCATGAGAAAATTAGAGAAGATGCTTGGGGAAGGTTGAAGAAAGTTCCATCTCATTTTCAGGTGTAGCACAAAGAGCTTCAGAGACTTCAGCATTCCAGTAGATCAGGTTCCTTTCAGGTGTCTGGGGAGGGGACATTACTAGGGCTGCTCTGATGAATGACTAGAGATGCCCAGGTCTGTTGGTATTAGTAACCTAATAACCAACATCCTGTGGATAATGGGAGGCTGGGCAGAGAAAAGGGCAGTCCAAAGTCACCCACCAAATCTCCACCTTTTCCCTTCCCTTACCACACGACTCCAGCCTCCACTGCTGCTCAGGGTCTTTGTTTGTTTAGTAATCTCATCTTTTCTTCGCTCTTAACCCATCTCTCTGCTAGAACTATTCCTTCTAATGTAAACATGTTCCTATCTCTTCCATCAGAGAAAAGCCTTGATCTATAGCACTGTCCGTCTTGGTCTTCTCCTTTCATCCACTTTTTTTTTTTTTATGAAGCAGCAAATGCATTACTTAGTCCACGACCACCTGGCTTCCGCTTCTGTCATTCCACTGAATCTGTGCTTACAGTTCATATGTGACTGTCTATTGTCCCAGAAGACATTTTCCAATTCTTATCCTACTGAATCTCTCAACTGCATTTGACTTTTTTTTTTTTTTTTTTTTTTGAGACAGAGTCTCACTCTGTTGCCCAGGCTGGAGTACAGTGGCTCAGTCATAGCTTACTGCATCCTCTACCTTCCAGGCTCAAGTGATCTTCCCACATCAGCTTCCCAAGTAGCTGGGACTATAGGTATATGCCACTATGCCTAGCTAATTTTTAAATTTTTAATTTGTAGAGATGGGGTCTTGCTATGTTTTCCAGGCTGGTTTCAAACTCCTGGCCTCAAGTGATCCTCCCGCCTACTCCTCCCAAAGTGCTGGCATTAAAGGCATGAACCACCATGCCTAGCCTTCATTTGATATTTTTTAATTCCCTCTGCCATTGCCTAAGTGACTTCTGTGATACAGTGTTCCAGTTTTTCAGCTCCACTACCATTATTTATCTTCTTGGCTAATTCTCTTTCTCTACTCACCCCTTTATTAGCAGGGTCTGAACAGGAAACAGCTCTTTCAAAATTCAACAATTTGAGGAGGGTTTATGTGCAAAGACGTTAATTAGAAATGACCTAGGTGTGAGCAGGGTATTGAAGAACCCTGGGCTGGCAATAATAGTCACTAGCCCTGAGCCTGAAGAGACAGGAGGGAGCAGAGGTTACTGGAACCCAGACAGTGAGACTATTGAGTAGGATAGACTTGAGAGGAGTAGGACCTCAGGTGAGGGACAACACCAGCCCAAGGTGACCTCACTGGTAGGAACCAGAAGAATAAATACCCAGACCCCTTTCTCCCACCCCGCCCTTTCCTCCCTGCTTCCAGACCCCTGCTGGGGCTCCTCATTGATGGAACACAGCTGGAAGCCAGAGGGCCTGCTGATGTGTTCCATACAGGTTAGGCTTCTGGGGCAAAGAGGACAGGGAGAAAGGTGTAAAGAAGATCTAGAGGGGAAAATGGAAGATAACTGGAGTACTTGTGACTGTTAGCTTTAACTCCTAGGTTTCTGCTTGCAGTTTCTGATAGCTGTCACACTATACTCATGCTGACTACTCTCAAGTCTATATCTCTAGTCCTGACTAAGCTTTAGACCAACATATTTTGCCTGATTCTTTGACACCTCTCTATGGATATCTTGAAATTCATTTTGTCCAAAACAGAGCTCGTTCATCATCTTTATTGCCCTACTAACTCCTCCTCCAGTATTCTCAATGTCGTAGCACCACCATCCATCTAATTACTGTCTCTCAAATTGAGTGAGATCTGGACACCATCTTTGACTTCTCCCCACTTACACCTATATCCAGTCACACAGGAAGTCTTGCAGAATTTGACCTCTTCAGTATTTTTCCAGTCTATCTCTTCTTCCCCACTGCTACTAGTGCTCTAGTTAGATCACATCACCTTTTGCCTTTATGACTGTATCAGCCTCCCAGCTGATCTTCCTGTGTTCAGGCCTACTGCTTTCTACTTCAGCCACTAAATGGTCATGAGTATGCATCTGCATGTAATACTGATCTGCGCAGGGACCATGTTACTCCTTGGTTTAAAAACCATCCCATAGCCTGCATTGTCTGAAGGATGAAGTTGCACACATGTCCATGTCCCCTTGAGAATTGCCTTCCACAGTGAACACTTTTACTGATGGGAGGATTATATTCCTCAGATTTACTGTAATGCACAAATACGCTGCCCTCAGCAAAAGGCCACTTTAATATTAGTTCCAGGTTGCTTACCATCTGAACAAAGGTCAGGCTTACTCTCCTGGCATTTGGACCCCTTGTCTGTGGTGGATATAGCTAAATCCCTAGGGCAATTATATTAGGAATAGGTATAACCTCGTAAAATAACAACAACAAAAACCCCAATGGCTTAAGCAAGGCAAAAGCTTATTTCTCTTTTAAATAAATGAAGCCCAGCTGCTGGCATTCCAGGAAAGGTATGGCAGTGCCACGGAGTCATCAGGGACCCAGGTTCCTTCCAGTTCTGATCCTCAGTCCTAGGGTATGCCATTATACTCATGGTTCAAGATGGTGTCTAGCTATCACATCATGCTCTGGGAACAGCATGGAAGACAGTATGGAAGAAATGTATCCCCTCATCCTTTAGGAGATTTCCTAGTAGTCTCATGTGCTTTCATTTGCATTTCAGTGTCTTATTGGCTAGAATATGATCATGTGGCCAATCCCAACTGCTAAAATTAAAAAGCTGGGGAATGTATTTTTTTTTTTAACTAGACTAATTGCCACACTACATAAATTTATTATTCTGTTAAAAGGCAATGGAGGAAAATAGATCTTGGGGTAGACAACTAAAATTTTTGCCACAACTAAAAATCTTCATAAAAGTTTTAAAAAGGTACTTTTTTTTTTCTGTCTCTCTCCTAAGAAATAAGGTCTCTTGCCTTATTGCCCAGGCTGGAGTGCAGTGGCACAATCCTGGCTCACTGCCCTTGCCCTCCTGGGCTCAAGTGACCCTCCTACCTCAGTCTCCCCAGTAGCTGAGACTACAGCCTGGGTAACATAGGTGGTTCTTCTGTGCTAGTTATAGCTAAGACACATTACCCTTTTGAATGGGTAAGCCATATAAGTCTCATCTCCTGCTCTATAGAGCTGATAAGTACCAGAGAACAGAACTGAGAATGGTTCACTTGTTACTCATTTTGCAGTTACTTCCCCCATACACCCAAAAGTTATTTCTATTAACTTGTCTTTTTTTTTTTTTTGAGACTGGGTCTTACTCTGTCACCCAGGCTGGAGTGCAGTGGTGGAATTTCGACTCACTGCAACCTCCCCCTTCCTGGTTCAAGCGATTGTCCTGTCTCAGCCCCCTGCAAGAAGCTGGGACTACAAGTATATGCCACCAGGCACAGCTAATTTTCGTATTTTTAGTAGACAGGGTTTTACCATGTTGCCCAGATTGGTCTCGAACTCCTGAGCTCAAGTGGTCTGCCCACCTCAGCCTCCCAAAGTGCTAGGATTACAGGCGTGAACCACCATGTCTGGCCTTGCCTTGTCATTTTTGTCCCTTCTTTCAACATTTATCATATACCTATCTATTAATATGGGGCCACCATTTTCCCTAGATGTTTTCTTTATTACCTTCAGGCTCTAACCCAACTCACCATTAATAGTATGGATCTTTTTATCAGCATCTCTTTATCATCCATTTCTTACTTTCTCTTTAAATCTTTTCTCACTCCTTTTAGTCAGCCCCACTGTTTAGCATGTCCACCATAATCCTAAATCTTTATTTTCTCTTTGGCAGCATTCTGTCATTTTGCCAGACACCAAGACTGTTTTTGTTTTGTTTTGTTTTTTGTTTGTTTTTGTTTTGAGACAGGGTCTTGCTCTGTCACCCAGGCTGGAGTGCAGTGGTGCATTTCAGCTTATTGCAGCCTTGATGTGCCCAGGCTCAAGCAATCCTCCTGCCTCAGCCACCCCGCTACCCTGACCAAGGCTGTTTTCGAGTGCTATGAGAACCGCATCAAAGCTCTGTTCTCCTCTAGTGTTAGCTTCATTTAAATGTGATACGGTCCCTTCACATACTTACTCTCATTTCAGATTGTGATATGGGGACTGAGAACAAGGAGGTGATTCCCAAGGAAGAAATTTCTGAAGAATCTGAGCCACATGGGTCAATATTAGAAAAATTTCCAAGAGTGGTTTACCAAGGTCATGAGTTTGGAGCAGGATATGAAGAAGACATGTCGGAGAGACATTCGAGAGAGTCCATGGAAGAGATTATGGAGCAGATGTCTCCTCAGGAGAGAGACTTTACATCAGGGTTGATGATTTTTAAAAAATCACCCTCAAGTGAGAAAGACCGGGAGAATAATGAGGGTAAGACAGGCTGCAGTCCCAGCCCAAATCTGGTGACACATCAGGGAGATACTATAACAGAGGGAGTGAGTGCATTTGCTACCTCTGGCCAAAACTTCATAGAGATTTTAGAACCTAACAAAACACAGAGAAATTCTGTGGGAGAAAAGCCTCATACATGTAAAGAATGTGGGAAAGCCTTTAACCAGAACTCACATCTCATCCAGCATATGAGAGTTCACAGTGGAGAAAAACCTTTTGAATGCAAAGAATGCGGAAAGACATTTGGAACTAATTCAAGCCTTCGACGGCACCTGAGAATTCATGCTGGAGAAAAACCCTTTGCTTGTAATGAATGTGGAAAGGCATTTATTCAGAGTTCACATCTTATCCACCATCATAGAATTCATACTGGAGAGAGGCCCTATAAATGTGAAGAATGTGGTAAAGCCTTCAGTCAAAATTCAGCCCTTATTCTACACCAGAGAATCCATACTGGAGAGAAACCATATGAATGTAATGAATGTGGGAAGACCTTTAGGGTTAGTTCACAGCTTATTCAGCATCAGAGAATTCATACCGAAGAAAGATACCATGAATGCAATGAGTGTGGCAAAGCCTTCAAGCATAGCTCAGGCCTTATTAGACACCAGAAAATTCATACTGGAGAAAAACCATATCTGTGTAATGAGTGTGGGAAAGGCTTTGGTCAGAGTTCTGAGCTTATCCGGCATCAGAGAATTCATACAGGGGACAAACCCTATGAATGTAATGAATGTGGGAAAACTTTTGGCCAGAATTCAGAGATTGTTAGACATATTAGAATTCATACTGGTGAGAAGCCCTATGTATGTAAGGAATGTGGGAAGGCCTTCAGGGGGAACTCAGAGCTTCTTAGACATGAGAGAATTCACACTGGAGAGAAGCCCTATGAATGCTTTGAGTGTGGAAAGGCTTTCAGGCGGACCTCTCACCTTATTGTCCACCAGAGAATTCATACTGGAGAGAAACCCCATCAATGTAATGAATGTGCAAGAACTTTTTGGGATAATTCTGAGCTGCTTCTCCACCAGAAAATTCATATTGGAGAGAAACCTTATGAATGTAGTGAGTGTGAGAAAACATTTAGCCAGCATTCCCAACTTATCATACATCAGAGAATTCACACTGGAGAGAAGCCTTATGAGTGCCAAGAGTGTCAGAAAACTTTTAGTCGGAGCTCTCACCTCCTCCGACATCAAAGCGTTCACTGTATGGAGTAATCTGCAAAATAGGAAAGCTTTTGGTGGAAAAACTAAAGTCCTACTTATTCATTTGTTCATAATATGCACCCCACATATTCAAATCAAATGAATGGACAGAATCTCCTCTGTCCTTTCACTGATTATTTAAACGGTTGAAGAAGATGAGGTAATTTTTTTTTTTTTTTTAAGACGGGGTCTTGCTCTGTTACGCAGGCTGAAATGCAGTGGCGCAGTCATAACTCACTGCTTCCTTGAACTCCTGGGCTCAAGGAGTCCTCCTGCCTCAGCCTTCCAAGTAGCTAGGACTGCAGGCACTAGTGAGGCACTTTTATGAATTAGTCATTCAGAAGTTTCAATGTACTGAGTTAAATTATAAAAGCTATTTCAGGCCTTAATTTCCCCTCTGTCCTTCCCTTCCCTTCCTTTCTCCTCCCCCAGTGGATCACATAACATTAAGGGTCAGTACCAGCCATCCTAAATTACTCTTCAGCAAAATTGTGAGAACAGGATTCTACCACCTCCTAAGAATGACAGAGTAGACTCATTGAATGTTACCCCCTGAAATACTAGAAAGTCATAACTTATAAGACACACCTTATTCTCCTGTCTACTGTTTAGCATTGGAATAATTTAGTAAGCTTTTATTAGTTTCCAAATCTTTAAGCCCTGCTGTCAAGTTAGAAGATGGCAGCATTAATGACAAGAAGCAGGAAGTTTGGGGTCATTTCACATCTGTTAGGCTTCCTTATTCATCTGAAGAGGCTGCCATGATGGAGGAACTGACAGGCAATTTACAACAGGATTGTAAGTGAAGGCCTTAGCATCCAGAGGGGCTGATTAGGCAACACCAGGGGATAAACAATTGAAGTCTGACTACTCAGCATGGGCAGAAGCAGCTCTTCAGGAGCTGTCCAAACTTCAGGGGTGCTCAGACTGACTGCTCCCAAGAATTCTGCTGCATTCATTGTTGGCTCCAGCCCCTACTGCTGCTGACAGATACTGTGACAGGAAGTAGCAGAGAGGACTGTGGCTTCACCTCCACAAGGCACCTGGCTACAGTGATGAGCCAGTTCATCTGATAACAAACCAGGGTCTGGCCTTGCCAAAGCACTTGAGTTCTCATGACCTGGACCCCACTGGAGGCACTGGCTAAGTTGGGATGTGGTAGCCTCTTCTTGGTTTTGCCCCTTGGCCTTGAAATTCTTTTTTCTAAAATAACTTTTAAAAAATAGAGCTAAGGTCTTGCTGTGTTGCCCAGGCTGGTCTTGAACTCCTGGGCTCCAGCAATCTTTTTGCTTCAGCTTCTCAAAGTATTGGGATTGCAGGTGTGAGCTACCATGCCTGGCTTTAAAATTCCTCCTTCACCATCTCTGCTTGTTTTTCGTGTTCTCCTATATCTTATTTCTTTTTTAAGGAAAACACAGCTTCCATTTTTCATGAGTCTATGTTTCTGAGGCAGTGGTGTTAGCGGGAATTGCACTAATAATGGGGATCCCACAGGCCTGGGATCTGGTCTTAGTGCTGCTAGACCTTGAATAAGGCACTTCACCTGCTGGTCTCCAATTTTCTCATCTGTAAAATGGAGGAGTTGAACTAAATGATCCCTGAAGTTTCAGCCAGCCCAGTAATTCCTTAAATCTTTAAAAATTTAACTTTATATCTCTTCATGGTTCTTTGATCTTGTCTTTGTTACACTAATATTAGTCACTAATATTTACTGAGTGTTTACTACATGACAGGCACAGTGCCAGTTTATATTTTAATTTTCACATCATTTCTATGATGTGGGTACTCATTTTTTAAAAGCTTTATAAAAGTAGAATTTACATACCATAAAATTCAGCTGTTTTAAGTGTTCAGTTGAATGATTTTTAATTTACATAGTTACACAACCATCAATGATGTGGGTGTTCTTACCCCAATTTAAAAGATAAGGAGGGGCAGAAGGGTTGATGCTAAGTGATTTACCCATGATTACACAGCTATTAAGTGCTAGAGCCAAGACTCCAATCCTGGTTGATGCTCTTAACTACTGTGCTGTGCTGCAGATAGGCAGATTCATCGCTGCCTTATTTGAAATCCTTTGCTCATTTTCTATTACTAATTTCTACATAGATTTGAATATAGTGAATTTAAATAATGTCCTTGGTAACAGAACTGACCACAGCCAAAAAAAAAAGAAAAAGAAAAATCCACCAAATGGTTTATTCTGTACTCCAACATAGGTGTCTCCCAGGCTTATATCCTTGGCTTGAGAAAAGGGTTGTACAAATAGATGATTGCACAGTTTCCACATCCTTCCAGATACCTCTGCCTCTAACAGTCACACTCCTAGTAGGGGAAGTTCTTTGATTTACTTCTTCCCTTAGGATGATTACAAGTGAAGTGTGCTCTCTTACTCCTTTTTTCATTGCTGGAGCACAAACTGAATTGTGCCCAGGCTATATCTTTCTCACATGAAACCTGGATCTCACCTGTCCCCTCCATGCCTGATTCCTGTGTTTGCATTTTTTTTTCTCTCCCTGTCCCCTGGGCTGGAGTGTGATGGCACAATCTTGGCTCACTGCAACCTCCACCTCCCAGGTTCTAGCAATTCTCCTGCCTCAGCCTCCTGAGTAGGTGGGATTACAGGCGCATGCCACCACGTCTGGCTAATTTTTGTATTTTTAGGAGAGATGGAGTTTCACCATGTTGGTCAGGCAGGTCTAAACTCCCGACTTCAGGTGATCCACCCGCCTCGGCCTTCCAAAGTGCTGTGATTACAGGCATGGGCCACCGCACCAGGCTGTGTTTACATATTTTATTTCCATATTTACCTCTTGTCAGCCCTGATAGAGAATGTGGCGCCCCTTCAAGCTTCTCCTAAAAAATCTATTCACACAAACACCCCTGAGCAATATGGACTTCACTGAAGATACTGTGTAAGAAGCGGAGAAGAGTTCACACTGTGCATTCTATTAGACACTTTGTTCTTGGAAGTACCTTATTGGCCAAACCACCAATGAATTTTTTCTCTTTGTCCTCCCCTCTCAAGGCTCAGCCACCTCACCTCCTTTTTTGCCTACCAGATATCCAATCCATCCCCTTACCTCCCCTGGGCCTAGCTCAATTACCTTCTTAAACCCATCACTGCTCAGCAAAATGTCCTCTAGTTAACCATTCATTTAAACATGAGGAGGCAATTTAGTGACCTGTTGCTCCTGAGCAGGTTCTTAAGTGGGAGGTCTCACGTCTCATTTCCAGAAAAATCTACCATATATAGATATAACCCTGCCCCACAGATTTCTGGTGAATGAAATTACCTTCATCTTGTTATGTACACTATATGCAAATCCTGTAACCTCAATTTGCTGTCTTCTTAACACATCTTACCCAGAGATCTCAGGAAGATTTCTCTTTTCCTTCTGTTTGCCTCCCTCCCTCTTCAACTTACTTGGGAGTCAGCATCTGACCATAATCGTGACTGGTGAGGATTTATGCAAACACAATACTATCAAGGAAAATACATGAATTGTCTTAATTTTAGACCTTTAAAAAAAAAAAAAACCGCACAGGCCTCACAATCTTAAAGTTCTACCTAAATACCCAGAAATACCCTTAAGAATTTTTGAAGCTATGCCCGTGTACATTTTCTTCCTTCCCGAATTTTAATGGTATACTAACACCTTAGGTGAATAAAATATTTCTTTACAATGTTACTGATATAATGCCTTTGTAATGTTTGTTATTCCAAGTTACATTATGTTTCATTATGGTTTTTAATAGGACTTTATCAGTTTTGTCCCCACCTTGTAAGTTTCATCTTGCCTAAGTACCCCAACATGCTTGTTAGCTTCTGGTTTTGCATACAGTGTACATTATGTGTCCTTGATCATCTGCTTTGCTTGGTGAGATCATCTTAAATAACAGGACAAACGTTACCTACTGTGTGTGTGTTGGTATACAAGTTTTTCTTCATTATTAACAACTTAATGTAAAATATTTCCAGACCATTTGTATGGTCTTTAAAAAAAAATCACCAGGCCGGGCGCGGTGGCTCAAGCCTGTAATCCCAGCACTTTGGGAGGCCGAGGCGGGTGGATCACGAGGTCAAGAGATCGAGACCATCCTGGTCAACATGGTGAAACCCCGTCTCTACTAAAAATACAAAAACATTAGCTGGGCATGGTGGCGCGTGCCTGTAATCCCAGCTACTCAGGAGGCTGAGGCAGGAGAATTGCCTGAACCCAGGAGGCGGAGGTTGCGGTGAGCCGAGATCGCGCCATTGCACTCCAGCCTGGGTAACAAGAGTGAAACTCTGTCTCAAAAAAAAAAAAAAAAAAAAA